GGTACCAGGGATCGAACTCAGGTGCCATTGACCTAAATCCCCAGCCCAACTCCTCCCTTTTTAATGTGCACTCTCTGGGCTTCAGTTTCCGCACCTGTAGAGTGGGGACACCATCAGTTCTTCCGGAAAAGTCATGGGAAGTGCCAGGTGCAGTACCGGGGCACAGCAAGACCCCTCCAGGCAGAGCTAGGATGATTACTGGACTATTTTTAGAAAAAGAAAAGTGGTACACAAATGTCTGTTGTAGAAATCTTAATGAGTGTGAAAAGAAGCATCAGCCCTATTTCTGCCCTCAAGGGATAACTATTTCTATCAATGGCTATTTCCACTTCCATCAACAGATACAAGAATCAGTAAGATCCTGATATTTTCCACCTCCCTTTTTACTGAGGGAGACCTTTCAGCCAGAGCCCAGCACCAAGATGGCATGCAGAGAGTGCCTTGGCTACATACAATGACTAATGGAAACATGAGAGAAAAATGAACGGAAGGAGGGGAAGACAGGAGGGAGGGGAAGAGGAAGGGAGAGAGACGGGGAGGAGAAAGGGGAGATGAAGGGAGAGAGAGGATGGGGTACAGTGAAAGGAATGAATGCAGAAAGGAGAAAAGAAAGGGATGGAAAGAAGGGCGAGAGGGAGGAAGAAAGGGAGTAAAAAGGGAAGAGAGAAATAAAAAAGTGAAAGAAAGAGGGAAAGGGAACTGGGAGTCTGTACACCTCTCCAGGCCTCGGCCCTCTTGCTCCATGGAAAGTTCTTTTGCTGGGTGCCACCTGCCAATCTTCCCTGCCCCAAAGAGCCCGCTCCTCCATGCAGCACTTCTACCTTCACAGTCTTGCTTAGCCTTCACAGCAACCCGATGAGGAAGGTCCTATCCATACTTCATTTCACAGCTAGGGAAATGGAGGCTGGACAAGTCTCAGTCGTTTATGCAAACTCCTCCACCCAGTAAGAGGCAGAAGCAGCAAGGTCTGGGGCCCTCCTCCCTGGCCTTGCATCACGGGCCTCTCAGGCTCTGCAGCCTAGCACATTGGCTTCTACTCCTGCTTCTCCAAGTGTGAGAAGCACTGAGACCTGAGCAGAGGCAGCTTTCAGGCTTTTTGGGTGCTTTTTCCACCCCCTGAAGGAGGCAGCTCCCTCCTGCCTGGAGGCTGGGGCTGCACCAGCTCAAGAATCAGATCTTGGAAAAACAGCAATTGTTTCTTATCACCAGCTAGTGCCACAGCCTCAGTAGATTTGAGTAAATTTGGAGAGCAACTGGTGTCTTCCTTCTCTCTCTCCCTCTGAGAAGTGGCCATGTGTTCCTGGCAACCAGATTTTGGACAGTGAGGAAGATGGAAGAATGGGAGAGAAAAAGAGGCAGAGAGCAGGGCTCTTTGCCACCCCAAGACTTTTGCAACTGGTGCTTCAGGCTCTGTTGAGGCACTGTGGGATGGGCACGGACACAGAGTGCCCTGCTGGGCTTGGTCATGCCCCTGGGTAGCAACATATGCTGGGAGCAGGCTTATGCCAGGCACTGTCCCTCCTCTTTTTAGCACAAAAGACGGCAACTTGAGCCAAGCAAGTGCCAGTTCGGAAAGCCAGTCCCTGGCTCTCTCCAGTTCTGCACAGAACCCACATTCCCTTTGCTGAAGCCACCTGCCCTTCTCAGCAGAAATGGTGGTGGCAGCAGTGGCAGAACATTCGCACTGCTTCTGCCGGACCCACGCTCATCACATTCTAATAAATGTCACTTTCAATGAATCCATCTTGCATGACTTTCTCAAGTTAATGTGGGTTCGTTGTACTCAGCCAGCTCTCCTGTAAAGGTCTGACTATGTGCCGTCTAAAATTCACGAAGTGGACGTGCATCATCTCATCTAAAATCCTTGAAAATCCCTCCGGCTTTCACTTGTCCCCATTGCATAGATGAGAACACTGAGGAATGGCAGAGTTCAACGACAGGCCTAACAACTCAGTGCAGGGTGGCAGACCCAGGTCTCAAGCAGGGACTTTCTGATCTCGAAGTCCATGCCTTGCCTGCAGCCATACAGTTGGACTCCATCTCTGCATGTGCCCCTTCTGCCTGGCACCACCAATCCAGGCTCAGAACGACCACCAGCCCTGGCTTAGTTTTGTACAATGTGTCCTAGGTTCAACGACAGGCCTAACAACTCAGTGCAGGGTGGCAGACCCAGGTCTCAAGCAGGGACTTTCTGATCTCGAAGTCCATGCCTTGCCTGCAGCCATACAGTTGGACTCCATCTCTGCATGTGCCCCTTCTGCCTGGCACCACCAATCCAGGCTCAGAACGACCACCAGCCCTGGCTTAGTTTTGTACAATGTGTCCTAGAACACAATGACTATGGCTTAGGACACCAGGGTGTGTGTGTGTGTGTGTGTGTGTGTGTGTGTGTGTGTGTGCGCGCACGCGTGTGTGTGCATGTGTATATGTGTAGAGAGAGAGAGGAGTTTCCAGGGGAGACAGTACCTAGCAACTCTCCATGCTAGCAAGGTGGTACTGAGCTGAGAAAAGTCTCTCAATCTCCCTAAGCAGATGGGCTGTGGCCCTCTAAAGCTGAATGGTGGGCAGATTGGCTGAAACCAGGCCTCATCTCAAGACTCCCTAGAAGCCCTGTCTCAGCCTGCAGGGGCTGCTGTGCCAGGATTCCACACAACAACATGTGGCTCACACAACAGACATGGATTCCTCATGTTTTAAAGGCCGGAAGCCTGAATCAAGGTGCTGGCAGAGTTGGATCCTGGTGAGGGCTCCCTGCCCTACTGGCAGGTGCCTGCCATCTTGCTGTACCTTACCTAGTGAGAGAGAGAAAGGCTCCAGTCTTGCCTCTTCTTATAAGGACACTAATCCCATTATGGGTACCCCATTCTCATGGCTTAACCTCATTACTTCCCAAAGGACCCATCTTCTAATCCACCCCACTGGGGGTTAGGGCTTCAGCATATGAGTCTGGGGGAAACAATTCAATCCATAGCATCCTTAACCTTACTACAGCCAATGGCTCATTCTGGTAGCCTCATGATGTTCACAGACCCCAAGGGCCATCCAAGTAGCTTGGCCAGAGCATAGGCAAAGTCTGCAACGAGTGGAGGGATGTTGTCCTGTCCCCAGACTGCTAATATGCCATAGGTGAACAGGCTTGAGTCTACCCTGGTCCATGGCCTCTTCTCTACAACTCTGATACCCAATTCTGCTACTCTCTAAAGTCAGACATGTTTCCTAAGTTATTTGGTGGCAAAAGTTGACCTGAGTCTTTGTGGGGCAACGTGTGACATCTGAATCTATTCCACCTACCGTGCACCATTGAATTTTAGGGATTAAAATGCCGATATGAGTGTTTACGGGGGGCAGCCCCAGACCAGGCGAGAACAGAAGACACATCACAAGCACGAGCAGGACCCTATAATCTTCTAGGCACTGCTCCTCAGACTGGCAACACACACTTCTCATGTCAAGTGCCCTTCAGTCCATATTCGCTCCATAAATGCTGGCGTGATCTACACGGTGGCTACCCCGCAGTTTCTCCTTTCCCAAGAGAGATGCTGTCAGCCTTCAGGAAAGTACAAACTGAGAAGGTGCTGTGGGCTGAACCGTGTCCCCCTAGGGGATGATGCAGTCTAACCCTCAGTGCCCATGACCTTCTTTGGAAAGGGGCTTATAGATACAATCAAATTAAAATAAAGTCATAACAGTGGGCCTTCATCCAATATGAGTGGTGCTCTGGTAGGAAGAGGAAACCTGGCCACAGAGATAGACACACATGAGGTAAGAGACACAGGGTGAACGCCATGTGGAGGCTGGAGCGTTGCCCCGACATCTGCAGCCACAGTGTGGGTCACCCCAAAGCCTAGGGCAGGGCCAGATCTCCTGTCTGGGGTCTGTGATAGGTCTTCCTTGGCCACCTTCTATCCAAAGATACGCAGTCCTGGATGCCCGCCTCACCAGCAGTGGAAGACAGGACAAATGCAGTCACTAAATGAAGACCGCCTTGGTACACAGGGCCTTTAAGGGGACAGCTTTATGTTCCTGGTGGGACTTTTGCCAAGAATGAAATGCACACTTCTCAGATGTCATTCTCTTGGCTTTCTTCCAAAAGGGTTTATTCTGCTCTTCAGGGCAGCAAGGTGCTCCTGACTCAGGCATTCTCCACAGCCCTCCGTTCCTCTCACTGCTCCCCACTTCTCTCTGTGGATCTCATTTGAACCATGCCTTTTTCTGCCTTTGATATATTGATGTCTTCTCAGACACCTCTGTACGAGCTCCCTCTATGTGGGGTCAAGGGACCAGCTCCCCCTGGGTACTTCAAACTTGGAAGGCCCTACCTCAACCTCATCATCTCCCTAGCTCACTGCTACCTCCTCCTCCATCTTCTGGAGGAAGATTCACTGCCTCATGCGGACAATCTTTCCATGGCTCCCTATTGCCTAAGGATAAGTTCAAACCTGGCTAAGCATTCCACCTAGATTCCAGACTTCCCTGATTTTAGTTCTATTCTTTTCCTCCCTCTTACTCCATGAGTGGTAGCGGTGGATTAGTCCTCAAAATACCTAGGGATGCTACAGATGCTTCCTGAACAGATTAGAGTCCAAGGTGCTGGATGTTTTGTCTTGTTACACACAGAACAAACAGATAAATCCTTCATCCCTGCCAAGAACATCATGTCACACCAAATCAAAGGCCCCCAGCTCTTGTGTTCCCATCTGCCTTTGCAGGCTGCTCTGTCCCCAGCTTCTCCGTCTGGCTCACCCATCTGTCCATAGATGTCATCTCTCACACATGGTTGACTCAATTGTGCCCCTGTAGGGAATGGGCAGGGAGGCATTTTCCTAGTGGGCAGGAACCATGGCTCTTTGTTGGCTTCTCCACACTATGTGAGCGGGAGGGAGTTGGGTGCAGTGGGGCGCCAGGATTCAGGGCCACAGAAGGTCCCCGAGGGCAAAGCCCAAGGGTTGGGGTTTCTGGGACTCACCTTTGTACCGCAGTGTAAGAAGCTCTTTCTGCAGGAACTCTCCAAGCTGGGCCTGGGGACTGACATGGAGGTGGAGCTGCGGATTCTCCAGCTGCCCGTAGATTACAGGGAGGTGAAGCAGAGGGTCACCAGAATCTGGAAAGATTTTCACCCACAAGTAAGTGATGGCCAGAGAAGCAGTGGGCTCTAGGGACTGATGATGTGGTGGAGCCCAGAGCCTGAGAAAGGCTGGGACCCTGGTTCCGGGGCTGATGGCTGACGTGCACCTCACCACATCATCAGGCAACAATCAAGATAGTTTGCACCTCAGGGAGAGGCCCGGGGTTAGGTTCTACACACGTCCACCTGGGCTGGCTGGTTGAAACGAGGCAAAGAACTGCTGAGCTCACAGAGCTGTTGGGAGGGTGGTACACGTAGGAGGGCCCATCTTCAAAACACCAGCCTACATTATCTGCACCTCAGTGCTACACTAAACACGGGTACAAATACCACTCCCCAGACCACACGGTGCAGTTAATAAAGCATATACCACCAAGATGTTAAGACCAGGTTCCAAACACTTTGATAGAATACTCAGCAGCTATTTTTGAGAAAGAAAAATATGATCAACTCAAATACATTCTATCAAAAGTTTATTTGACTGTTACTAACTTCCTTTATTAAAGAATCATAAAAAAGATGGAGGATTCTATAGAAACACTAAACTTCTGTGGTAGTCTTTAGATACAAACTTGCTTTCTTCTCCCCCCTCCTAAAAAGAGAATATATTACCTTGTAAAAAATATTTTGAAATATAAAAGTATTGAAATATAAATGCAATATGGTTTTTATTTAGTTGAAAGAACTCAGCATCTCATTGCAGCTGTATTAATTAGGGGACACAGACAGGGAATCCCCTGGGCTTTCATGGGTGGATTTGGGGCTTGAGATGCTTTCCCAGGGCTTGGCCTTTCTGCACACTCAATGACCCGGTTTCCTGTGATCTCTCTGCTATGGCCTTTGTTCATACAGCTTGCTGTGCATGTGGGTGTGGACATTTCGGCCAAGGCAATTTTTCTGGAACAGTGTGGCAAGAACCGTGGCTACCAAGATGGTGACATCCGGGGCTTCCGGCCAGAGGGCGGTGTGTGCCTGCCAGGCGGCCCAGAAGTGATTGCGTCAAGGGTCAGCATGACGACGGTCTGCAAACGCCTTGCCATTGACGGTATTGAGGTGACCTCTTCCCGAGATGCGGGCAGGTAAGCTTTGCAGGTGTTGTTGGCTCACTAATCAAGTAGGGGAGAGGAAATGGCTTTCAAATTCCCTTTCTCCCACGAGGAAACCATGCTGTACCATCCAGCTGGCTGCTTGGCAAGGAGCCACCCCACAAGTCTCCCCTTTGTTGAACAGTTGTTCACATTCAGGCCTGGCTTGAGGTGACCCCTTTTTTCCTAACACTGGATTTGAGCAATTGTTAAAGAAGAGATACTGTAGAAGAGGTGGGGGTTTGGAGAACCAGGAACATTTTGTGAATGGTTTGATGCTTTTTGGTTTGGTGAGTTAACTCTGTGGCTTTAGTCCCAGATGAATATTCGTATACTGACAGTTTTCCAACTCTGAGCCCCCTGGCTGCATTTTCTTCTCTCCAAGGAATGAATGAACAAATGACTCAGTGAAGATGTGAATGAAGGAGAGATTTACTAGGGTAAAGGTGATTTGGACTAATTGGTTGAAAGCCTGGCCCTTTTCTGTCTTGGCCACTTGCTGGTCATGAAACCACGAGCCTAAGCTGTCTCTGCCCAGGCCATTCCTGCCCCATGTTCTTTTTGAGGCAGCAGAACCAAGTTAAGTCTCTCCGAATGGCCATCCTCCCTCCTCATGCTTTTAGATGGTGCATTGCCACGTATGCTTATGGTTCACGGAGGGTGTGGGTCGTCTGAAAATAAATGTGGCGTCTCATGGGGATGCAGGTACGTCTGCGATTACACCTACTACCTGTCTCTGCATCATGGAAATGGGCATGCAGCTCTCGTCCATGTCCCTCCACTGTCACGTGGGTTCCCAGCCAGCCTGCTGGGAAAAGCATTGAAAGTGATCATCCAGGAAATGCTGGAAGAGAGTTGCAAAGCCCAAGCTCAAAGCCAGGATTGCAGAGAACTGAACCGCAATGATCGCACACAAAGGGAACCAGTTGGGGAATGTCTCCTTTAGAGAAAAAGAAATGTTCAGTCCTATGTGTCGAGTTCAGTTATGCCTTCAGAGGCTTTTAAAGATTTGCTTGTAAAACAGTTTACACAGACAGAAAATATTCTGAATGAGCTCAACAAAATCAGTTATTTTATTGTCAGAAGTAAGAACTCTGTAAAAGGCAGATGTTTCACAAGGGATTAACTAGCTTCAGTTATGGTTTTTATGACAATAAAATGAAATCCCAGTAATTTTTTTTTCTTCTAAAAGACTAGCGGGGCTGTGGGATCCTGCCCAGGCTTGAGGACCACAGGCCACGGAAGCACAGGTGCAGCCACTCCTCTAGGCCTAGTGTTTGGTTACCCCGTCTTTTCTTTTGCTATTCATTTGGACAAGTTTGAAGTATACAGTTTAGTGACATTCAGCACATGTACACTGTTGTGCAACCATCACCTCTCTTGGGCTTTCTCACGATCCTAAACCAAAACTTTACCCCATATACAAAGGACTACCTGCTCCTTCTCTTCCCAACCTTTAGCAACCACCTTTACCTTCCTTTTCTGTGAACTCAATTAGGTCCCTAATATGATTCTCTTTTTTGTGTTTTATTTCATTTGTTATAACGTCCTCTAGTTCCACCAGTGTTGTAACAGATTATGTGACTTCATTGTTTTTTTAAGGCTAAACAATCTACCATTATATGTCCCTACCACACTTGGTTCTTCCGTTCACCCATGGATGGACACTTGGGTGGATTCCATCTTTTGGCTATGGACAATAATATTGCTGTAAAAATTGGCCTCTGAATATGTGGTTAGGTCCCTGATTTCAGTTCTATCGTGTATATACACAGGGTTAATTGCTAGAGCAAATGAAAATTCTGTGTTTAATTTTTTTAGGAACTGCTGTATTGGTTTTCACAGTGGATACACTGTTGTATAGTCTCACCAGCAATGTTTGCTCTTAAAGCAAGCTTTAAAGCTGGGCCTAGGTTCTCTCCATAATAAATATTATTCCCGATTTTTTTTTTTTTTGTACTGGGAATCTAACTTAAGACCTTGCACTTGTGAGGCAGGTAGCAGCACCACTGAGCTAAATCCCCAGCCCCTCCTAACTTTCAAAAATCAGAAACTCCCTTGTTTTGATTTTATGACACTGCACTGGGTCTTGTGCCAACCTGCTCACAGCCAAGTTCTGCTTGTCCAGTGTCTTTGGGGCACAGTTTTCATTCATAACCCCAATGGTAACTTTTTTTTGAGTAATAGTACGGAAGTATCTAAGGCCTAATACATTTCCTGTTATGTTGGTCTGCTCATAGCTACCATTTTTTACTTGAGTATACTAGGAAAGTCAGTCTGTTAGTGCCTGGATTCATGTACTGTGGGAAAAGGTAACTGTAAGCTAAAAACGAAGCAACTGGACAGGCCTTGCTCATTTTGCTATTAGCCCTCCAGAAGATTTATGTACACAGAACAGACTTTACAAGACCCCCTTTGTAAATACACTTGGGTTGTTTGACATGCAGCAGGTCTCAGTCACTCTGTGACATCAAAAGCCTGCAAGTGAGCCATCTCGAGATGGTGCCGGGGTCTAGCAGCATGGTAGTTTATGTGGAGATACTTTTGTACTTGGGGCAAGTAGCAGCCATCCAGAGCCCTCAACCCCTTTATTCTTTCTCCTGTTTCGGGACACTGGCAAGCCAGGGACCCCCAGGACAGAGCTCCGGTATTATTGCAAATTGCTCAATGCCATGCATACACATTGAAGAATTTTTTAGATATCCAGTTGGGAGGTCTAGAGCTCTCTTGTGATGAACTTCCCCATAATTTCCCAGCCTGCGGCCTCTCAAATTGTCCATGGAGAACTCCAGAGGAGCATTTATGTCCTGATCTCTGTGAATGACTCAGATCCCTACTGATCTACAGCGGGGCCTGTTCAGTCATGGCTGCTACAGGGCAGTTCTGAGTTGAAAACTGTAGCATAAAAGACTGCGCCCTGGTTTGATTGCTTAATAGCCAGGGCGTTTGGGGCACGTCCATGTGTGCCTCTGCAAAACAGAGCAATAAAGCCTGCCATTGCAGGGTGCTTGTGAATATCCAGTGAAGACTATGGGTGTCAAAGACCTTCCTTGACAATAGAACACCACTAAAACACACAGCAGAGTGTGGCCTCATAGCTGGCTATGGTCCCAGTGGGTCTCCCATGGGTTCATGTGTTAGGAGCTTGGTTTCCAGCTGGTGTTGTTGGGAGGAGGTGGGGCCTTTGGGAGGTGGAGCCTAATGGGAGGTCCTTAGGTCATTGGGGTAGCTGTCCTCAGGAGAAATTAAGGAACTTCTTTGGGATCCCTGAACTCTTACAAGGAATTGTTAAAGAGTAAGCGAAACCCAGAATTGCTCTCCGGCTTCCTCTTTTGAGATGTGATGTCTTCTTCCCACATGAGCTCCTTCTATGAGGGCCTCCCCAGAGCCTGATGCCTGCACCATACTCATCAGCCTCCAGAACTGTGAGTCAAATAAACTTTTCTTTGTGAAGTTAGCCTGCCTTGGGTATTTTGTTATAGTAATGCAAAACAGATTTAACACACAGGGTGGAGGTATACATAGAAATAGCTCTTTAGTACTCTTTAAGAAGTGGCAGAGACCAGAAAGGTTCTAATGTCTGAGGATCCACTGTCTACATCCTAAGAAACCGGTGTTCTGGCTTTGGCAGACTGTGACAGCTTAGCCTTGGACACGAGACCTTCTTCAGTTACTTACAGGAGGACCTGTTAGGCTCTGGGTGACCACATTGTGCAGGACCCTGAGGCCAGCACCGAGCTTTAGAGTGCTTCCCTTAGAGCTTTTAAAATGCTTTTTGCTTTTACAGTCTATACCTGAAACTCACCAGGTCTTGGATAACCATGGCTTTTAATTTCTTCTATTGTGTCCAACTATTTAGCTATTCTAACAGCCTGACTTTTTTGCTGGTTTAATTTCCCATGGTCAAAGCTTATTGCGATGACCAGCTTGTCACCCAGGTTGTCTATGCATAGGTGTTCTAAGGCATTTACAGCCTATTTCCTTTTCCTACCAGCCCCTCCCCTTCCAGGACAAAGATGATGTTTAGACTGAGTCACTGGGGGCTGGCAGGGCTAGTCATTAGCTAGAAAGAGACTACTGTGTATTGGGAGTATGTGCAGCAAGCCATGTTCTGAGGCTTTGTGGGTCTTGTGGGTGCCCTCCAAGTTGGCTTACCCACAAGGGCATGGGAAGACAAGCATCTCTGTCCTCTGCCCGAGTCACACAGCTCAAACCTGCTTTGGCCTGACTTTTGTCAGTGGAAGATGTAGGAAAGAAGATGCTTACAAGTCAGTAAAAAAATGAAGTAAAAATTCTGTATTTTGGCTTCAGGTTTTCTTCCAGCTGATATAGTAGAATGAGAAAGAGTAGCTTTCCCGGCCCCAGCAATATGCCCAGAGTGCTCAGATGCCAGAAACAGGGCAACACTTTCTCCCAGACCACTTCCAAGTGACATGTGAGAACACACAGCACACAGAGCTTGGCTCCCTTGCCACAGAAATGGAGTGATGGCTCCAGAAAGGGAAGAAAGAAAATTTGACACAAAAAGTGCGTACAGAATCCTTTTATTTAACTTAAACCATGTAGTACTTTAACTACTAGAAAAAAGCAGAGTAAGAGAAACTAAAGTCACCTTAGCTTCAGCCATTCAAAATAGAGTTTTTTTTATAAGAATCCAGAGTATATCGCAATAAACAGGAATAAGTTCTTACAACAGAATATACAAAAGATTTTGAAATTTTTTCATCTACTGATTTTTCATATAAACAGGATTTTTTAAGGAATAATTTATACACAAGGTCATTTTATGTAACAAATTGGCCATCTTTTTTTTTACTTTTTTTTTAAAAAAAACTTGTTAAAACAAGAGAACTCAGAAAATGCATTATTCGCAATGCATCCATTCCATTGCACCTTCTGGTTTGATTTTTTTTTTTTTTTTTTTTAGTCCCAGAGGTAGACAAACTCTGGCAAACCTCCTACCTTAACCTCACTGGCTTAGAAAACAGGCAGGTGCTTTCGCCAGGCATCTGTTCCACCGGTGGATGTGTGAGCACAGTGCCAACCAACCAAATAAGAAGCTGAAAACAACAAAATCCCCAGATGGTTTCTGGACCCTTCTCCTATGGAGTGCAAAAATCCCAGATGTTTCCAATAACAGGAATTTTGTGGAGCTGTGCAGATATGGCCAATAATCCACTGGGAGCTAGAGGACATGGAATCAAACTTAAAAATTTTTGGGTGTGTTGCTTTTACCAAAGAATTTGTTCTGTGTTGGAAAGACTTATCTTCAGTATTCTGCCTTAGATAAAGATAATAAGGCCTTTTGCTCATTAGGACATAGCAGTTGACAACAGTATGAGGCAGAAGCAGATGGCCAGTGTGTCCCACACTTTCTCATGTTGTCATTATGGAAACCATTCACTATGGCTGAAGTCCTTCCCCTGCGGTGGCACTGCAGGGCCACAACAGTAACCACGCCAGCCAAGCCAGATGCTGAGTGGTGTGGTGCATCACAGGGCAGAAGGCCTCTGCTGTTCCCATGGCCAGTGAGGTTCTCTCCATCCGTTAAAGTTGCTACACTGCAAGAGGAAATGACCAGAAGATGATCCCCTAACCAGTCAGAGGGTTCTAGAAGACCAAGATACCGAAGATACATAAGTATTTTTAAAATCATCATTTCTTTGTTATAAACAAGGGCACAAAGCATGGGGAGAAATAGGTGAACCACAGTTCAGGCCTGGAAAAAAATTTTTTTTTTTTTTTTGGCATATTGTAAAGCTAGCTAGTAAACAGGTGTCCTAAAAGGGGGGGAAAAATGGATCACAAACACACATTTGCACACAGAGGAAAAAAAGTGTCTTTAAATTATTTTCGGCAATTATCAACTACAAATATTTTATAAAATTATTCTATGTTCTTACAAAAATGCAATGAAACATTTAATTAGTTCTTGTAAACCAGATCTTCGTCAACTGACTACCCGTAATCTACTGGACTTAAGAGCCCTATTGGAAATGCTAATGAGTGACTAATTTTTTTAAAAAAATGTTTTCTGGAAAGATGCAGACACAGAAACGTGGATACACAAATGAGTGATTATTATGTTCTTAAAGAAACAAAATAAAATGAAACCCTAAAGCCATGCCCAGAACTGACCTCTGGCGAGTGAGATGCAGTTCAAGTTCTTACACGTGACTTAACTCTGCAGTAAGTTCACAGAGCAGGATGTTGGGTTTATTTGTTGAAAGCAAATGCCCACAGATGACTGTGGACCCTTGATGTGGTCCGATTCCTTCAGAAATCAAGTTCAATACATGACCCCTGCTTCCAAGCCCCGTCCCTGTACTTCTCCCCACGTCTTGATCCCTGCGAACAATGGTTTCCTTCTGCCTGGCCATTCCACCATCAAGGAGCGTTCGTTTCTCTAAATGACACACTAGTCATCCACGTTGGGAAGTCAAAAATGAAACCCTGTGGCCTGTCCAGGGTCTGTATCTTCAGCATCTCTGGCAACAGAGGTTCAATCTAAACAACATCCTCTCTTGAAGTTCTCAATTTGTACCACCAACTAGTTCAGAGTGGAGTAAGAATGTTCTGACTTTCATCACTGGTTCTTAAAGAGTGGATCTCAGGTCCGTGTCTCCCAATGCTGCTTGGCCCAGGAAATGAAAAGACAGCTGACAGACACAAATGTAACATTAACAAAGAAACAAACCCCAAAACTTCAATGCACTACTGGGACTGTTGGAACAGGCAACACATACCATGGAGTGCTACTGTGAACCGGAAGGTGTGTTCTGGAAAGGAGTTACTTTCAACATGGTCCGGCCAATCCAGGGAGAACCCAACAGTGACAGTCGAGGACCTTGGATGAACATCCTAGCTTTCTTCTCACCCACATGAGCTCAATGTGACACTGCCACTACAGCTGCCTGTATTAGGAACGGCCATTGCCGCAGAGGTGGGCTGCTGAGAAGGCGGCTTTGGTGGATCAGACTGGCCTAGAATTTAGCAACATATATGGCTTATCAATCCATTATCCCAACCAGCACATACCAGGTCGTACCAAGCATTCTGCCGTATGGTAGTTTCACAGTAACTACGTTTCTATTTTATGAAGCCCCTTTTCCCACCACTGAAATGTCGTCCTGAGCCTAAGAAACAGGCTGAAGGAGAGGCTGGTGGTGGCCCCAGACACAGTCTTCTATCTTCCAACAAGGAAGCTCAATCCAACTATGTGTCAAATGCCTCAGCATCCCTCAGGGGAGGCCTCACACAGCTCAAGTCCAGCAATGTCTCCGGAAGACACGGGCCCCCGCAGCCTCCCTTGGGGAAGGGCTGTGTGAGAACGTCTCCATGCTCACCTCAATCCGGCGAGGTGCCTCAGTGGTTCGCGTTGACTTCGAGCAGTGTGAGCTGCTGTCAGGAGGAGGTTGCTTGGAAAATGCCACAACTAGCTTGATTAGATTATTTGGAGCATACACAAGAGAAAAATCAAGAAGAGGTGGGAAAATCAGCATAAAATGAGGCTAGAACTGTGGATACATGATGCCTTGGTAGAGTTAAGGAGGGTGGGTTGGTCCAGTAAAATGACTGCACCAGCACACAAGCGAAATTTTCCTTTATTTAAGTGTTTCTGAAGCACTTGTTAGGATGAGCACTATACTATTAGTGTTTTCTAAGAAAAACCTCCTAAAACATAAAACAAAAACAAAATGACACCATCAACTTGGACAGTTTAAACAAAACCTTTATAGAACCAGCTGAAGTATCTGTAGAAATCCAGTTGTGGGAACCGGTAGGTATGTGCAAAAGAGAGGCGAGGCCACTATTCCAAGGGGTCCCCTACAGTGTGGAAGAAGAAAACCCTGATCCAACAGTTAAGTATTTCTCGGTGACCTTAAGGTCCTGGAGACCTGGGAGGAAAGGGCAGTGTTCCTACAAGCAGAAAGGCTCCTCCTTCCTGGGCTTCATCAAGTACTGTAACGGGGAGGGAGCCGTCACATGGGGAAACCACCCGTGGTGCTTCCCGGCTACCATCCCCAGGGCCTGTGAGAGCAGCTGCTGGACTTGGACAGCGCACCATCCACCCGTGAGCAGCAGGATAGACAGAGGTGAACCTCACAGAGACTGGCCATCCAGCCCCAAGGCCTGGTACTTCCCCAGGGAGGGGGCTTCGCCTTTTCGTACCAGCTTGGCTGGAGCACGTCGGTGAGACCGAGCTCCCCAATTGCTGTCGGGGCTGCGCCTGTAAATAGAGCAAAGGTGGCGGCAGCGGCGGCACATCCCTGACTCTGTGCAAGCTTCACAGGAACACCCCACAAGAGCACAGAGCATGGGCACCTTCCTGTCCTCAGATCCCAGGGAAACCTGCTCCATCAATGGTGACACGGGTTGGTCGTTCAAAGCAGCTTCGCTTCAGCTAGGGACAGCCAGGTGGCCGGCCCGAGTATGTTCTCGCGTCCTCCCTGGTCAGGGCCGGGAGCAAGGAAACTAACACCTCACAACCTCTGAAGAAACCAGGTTAGGAAAAAGAAAAAAGCAGTACAAGGCATCCCAGGAAAAGGCAAACTGTCTGAAATGAGCGGAGAAAGGAGTTCGTGTCACTTTGACCCTGGAATACAGCCTGGCCTCTCCCTGCCATGTCACCTGGGTATGTGGCCTATGGTGTGGATGAGGTTTACCAGTATCAGTGGCCTATTGTCAGGTGCTGAGAAATGTGAGATGTATTTTTTTTTCTATATACACATATAAAAAAATAAGAGGTAGATAAATGTTTGAAAAAAACAAAGCAAAAACACCCAAAATCTGTCCTCTCTCTCTCTCTCTCTCACACACACACACACACACACACACACACACACACACACACACACACACACACACTCACACGCCCTCCCCCCTATAAAAAAATAAGAGGTAGATAAATGTTTGAAAAAAACAAAGCAAAAACACCCAAAATCTGTCCTCTCTCTCTCTCTCTCTCACACACACACACACACACACACACACACACACACACACACTCTCACACACATACTCACACGCGCACCCTTTCCTCAGTACTTAAATTCATAATGGGGGCTTTTCTACAGTGATTAAAACTGGTATCACAAAATAAATTAAAAGACTCCTACATACAATACCTTCTTAATTACCTTTCTTCTTTTTCTTATTTTCTCTTTTAAGGGAACACACTGTGGGACAGAGGCCGTGAGAAAGTCACGAGACTGGAACTACTGACAAGCAAGTAAGCACTATAAACTTTCCTTTTTGTGTTTAATCTCCAGTCACAACTAGCAATCACCATCTTCGAGCTTTGTCCTTACTCATCAGTTAAACATTTCCATCCCAGAAGCAACTTTGGTGCTGTCATCACTCTGGTGAGAAGTGCTAAGAACTAAACAAAGCAGGACCCCAGGCCTGAGGGCTGGGATTCCCGGCCAGGCAATGCAGCCAGTGCCAGGGCTCTGGTCCCGGGGAGGGGGGTGGGCAGGCAGAGCGCTCTGGGCTGCCTCGGCCGGCAGGGTCCCACTCCCCGCCGGGGTGGACGGGTCCTGTGGGATGCTCTGGTTCTAGAGACAGGTAGGTCGGTCTGGTGAGGGTGGTGGCACAGGGTAGCAGAGGGGCCTGCTGGGCCACGCTCTGCTGCACCCTGGGACTCAGCAGCTGTTTTCCATGGGATGGAAAGATTAAATATCCACTAAAAAAAATAGTAATCCAAATGCCTAGTGTCTGCAGTTAAAACTGCTGTTGTACCCAAGAATTAAAAAATATATATTATGTGTCACAAACCAAACAAAGGCAAGGGAAAGAGAAGGTGAGGCTGTCAACGACGGGGACTATACACACTGAACAGGGACGTGTGAGATATTCAGCCTTTGTATTTCTGACCTGAGTTTGCATCATGTCTTGCGCTATAACAGACTCCAACACCGTGTGAGGCAGGGCTGGGAAAAGGGGAGCACAGGGGGCCAGGCCCGGGCCTGAGCCCTCAAGCCGCCTCTTTCCCTCATCTGCCTCGTGCCCACAGAGCCTACAGGGCTAGAAGACAAAGAATGGGGCTGGAGGCTGGGAGCAGGGTGTATTTACAAAAAGGCATCGAACAGTTCACGGCAAATCATGTTCTAGAAGTATCATTACTGGGAGAAGAGGAAGAAAAATCACACACTCTAGTACAAAGCATAAGAAGTTTCTTGGAGTGAGCAGAAAGGGAAGAAGGGTAGACCTGAAAGTTTTCATAGATTAAATCCACAAAGATAAAGAACAAAAAAAATAGCAGCTTTTTTTTCTGTACAGACGTATAGATGAATATCTGAACCGTAAAAAAGTTATAAAAGTGACATTAAAGACGATGTGTATGCAAATGTTTCATGGTCTAACATAGAACTGTGAGACCATGAAGAAGTCCTAGTAACAGAGAAAATGTCAACGAAGCCGAGCATGCTGGACTCCACGGCCTGCGCTGCTGCTCCCTGCCGTGGGGTCTCAGTCCCTTCCCTCGCACACCCGTGTGAACGGCTGGGCCGAGTCGCTGGTTACCCCTTCCCACCTGTGTCCCTTGGGGGTCAGGAGGGGCCCGGGGAGACCAGCACGAGGGCCAGGCTTTCAGGCTCACTTGCTCTGTCCTTCAGAATCCTCCGGGGGCAGAGGTGGGGGTGGGGGAGGCTCCTCGGCCTTTCCCATCTTCATGAGGGAAAGTCTCATTCTGCGCAATTCCTCCAAATGGCCTAGTCACTGAAAGCAGGGCACCCGGTGCACTTGGGCTTGGAAAGCATACCGGGGACAGTCGGATGGAGTGAATCACCAATATGTCTCTTATGTGGAGTTACAGTTAGATACTGTGCTCATCCCATGCCTATGGGCAGGAAATCAGTGTGGGGTTCGTGAGGAAGTTCAGGATTTTGGCAAAATTTGGCAGCGTTAAAATGGTGACAACCATGGATAAACCATGGCCCTTTTTAAATTTTAGGTGACCCTAAAAAGGTTACAGATATAGTTAAAAAAATCCCATCTGTGTGTGTGTGTGCGTGCGTGTGCATATGTGTGTGTGTGAGAGAGAGGTAATAACCCATGATGCCAGGCAGGTGTGTACAGGAGTGACGTGGGGCCCCAGGGACAGACGTTTCTGACATCTGATAGAACGGTCTCTCCAGCCAGGCTTGCAGCAGATATTTTTCCATTATGAAGCAGAAAAAAGGAAAAAGGAGAGACAGAGAGAGAGAGGCAGAGAGAGGGAAGGAGAATGTGAAGACTCAATTCTCAAGTGTTCTGTTGCTATTAAGTGTTGTCATTAAGGTTCTCAGAGGCCCGTGTCAGTTAAGGGCTTGGGCAGGGAAATAAAAAGCTGCTTGCATATTGAGAAAAGGACATCCCAAGGTGTTTACTGCAGAGAAGCGGTCTCCGTGGGCAGCAATGCAGCTCTGAAGATCCACTGAGGTACAGGAGGCTTGTGGATAGACTGTTAAACTCTCTCTCCCCCCACCCGCTGCTGAGTGCACACACGTTACTGTTTGCACGGGATGCGGGATCCAGGATCAGCAGGTCGAAGACTGGGGCAGCGGCAAGGCCCTCTCGTTCGTGCGGCCTCCATTCATGTGCGCGTAAGGCTGTCTCTCATCAAAGCTGGCGCGGAGGACCAGCACTCCCGGGCCCGGGCCGTTCTCGGCCTTGTGTCCTGAGTGTCTGTCGGGCAGCGGCAGGGAGGATGAGGAGGCTGAGGGGTCCAGGGGGACACTCTCCATGTTCTCGGGCTCCAGGTCCAGCTCCTCCGGCTCGGGCGGCTTGTTCTCCTCGCTGTAGTAGAAGGAGACCTCTCGGAAGCCGGGCTCCATCTCGTCTTTGATGCTACTGATGATCTCCAGAAAGGAAGGCCTCATCTTGGGGTTGTACTGCCAGCACATGCGCATCAGCTCAAACCTGAGGGGAAGACAGGCGGAAGGTAGACTTGCTCTGGCGCCACTCGGAGCCTCTGGCTTTCTGCTTACTCGTCCCTCCACCTGTCAGCTCACTTTGCCCCGAACCCAGTCCCTACCATGATATAAAACCCAAACTTCACTTCCTAAGAAGGACAAGCCCGGCTCACACAGAGCCCGCCACCATGCGGCTCATCGATGGTGACGGTGCTAAGTTTTATAAATGAGCAGCTCTGGCTGAAGCATCTCCTGCGAACATTGTTTCCAGAATGAGAAAGCAGAGCACCTCTGCGTCCCATTAACAAGGTGGGAGGTGATCGCAGCCTCCCGGGCAGCGATCTCTTCCTGGATGCTGTTTCTAAGCTTCCACCTGGGACAGGGATACCCTGGCAGAAGGTCGGGAGGGTTAGCGGTGGTGGGGCTGCCAGGCCCAAGGAGAACAGGCTCTGGTCTGTGTCTCAATCAAGCCCCTGCCTGCAGTGCTGCAGCTCTGGATCCAGACCAGGCTGAAGCAAAGGAGTCACGATGGAGACCTCAAGCCAGATTCCAACAAGCCTGCCAGCAGCTCCCTGGGCAAGAGTGCTGTCCACAGCAAGGGACAGGCAGAAAAGTGCGAAGGCGTGCCGTGCCTCAGTCACACCAGCTGGGCCACCAAACCCAGAAGACCTTGGGGTCACACGGGCCACAGGGAGTCTTCCCAGCTGGTCTGGCCTCTGACAAATGTGTGGATCCCAGAGACCTTGGGGGCAAGGAAGAAGGTGAAGGAGCAAGTCAAAGACTGCAGGGCAGCTGCGGTGCCGAGAAGGGTTGGCCAGTGGGCCTCTCTGACATGAGCGGTGACCCAGGGCCTTCCCACCTCGGCTGTTGCTGGGAAGTTATACCTATTGTTTTGTTTTAAAACTCCTGGCTAAAGAGATGCTACCTAATAAAAATGGCCAAATGGAACTCCCTGTGTCCAGGAAACTCAAAGCACCCCAACTTGACACCTGGGAGACCCCAATATAACCACACCCCATCACTGTGGAAGCTGTGAGCACCGAGGGAGGCCCCCCTGCCCACCTGGCTGGCTTCCATAGAAGGCTTTGGGTCAGGCTGGGTCAGGCAGAGGGCAGTGACCTTGGGGGTGGGCGAGAATGGGCCAGAGGGAGACCTGTCCAGAGTTTCACCTTCAGGAGCCCAGGGTCAGGAAATTACAGGTGGGCCGGATGCCGCTGGTGGCCCATTTGTTTACATGTTGCCCGTCGCTGCTTTTAGAACCAAGTTGCTTTTAGAACCAAGTCAGAACCAAGTTGTTTAGTCTGCAGGCCTACAATACTTATTATCTGGCCCTCTACAAAAAAAGGTGGTCCACCCCTGATCTGGTAGAAAAAGGATGGGACAAAAGAAGACGGATGAATTATTTTCCCTTCTGAGTCCAGCCAGGTGCAGTGCTGACCACCAGGGTGTCATGCAGTGAGTTCTTGGTGTGGGGCTTGTGCTAGTCCTCATGAGCCTGTGAAGAACGATAGGCTGCTGCCTACACATCCTACACCCCATTTGTATGGGGAAAATGAAGCACCAAGAGATTGTATAATCCGACCAAGGTCACAAACATGGTGGAGAGGGCAGGGGTGACCGGACCCCCGAGGAGACACTCACAGGAAGGCTGTCTGCACTGAGGACCTGGTATCTAGTGTACTGTCCCTGCATCTGACACACACCTGTCTGTCCGGTAGCACACAGCTTGCCTTTCTATACCCCTTTCCCCCAACAAAAGAACAAATCTAAAAAAAATATTTAAAATGGGCAATAAATGCAAGGAGAGCATCTCTACGGCTGGGTTATTTCCGCTCAGGCTGAATGACTTATCCCCGAACAGAAGGGCAGCTGGGGCCAGGAACATGAGCCGTGTCTGGCCCTGTGCCCTGTGGCCGGGGTCTGAGGAGGAGGGCAGTGATGAGGTGACATCAGCACAAACAAGCCATGTGACACTGCTTTTAAACCCTTCCAGAGTCACAGCCCTTCCAGCGCTGCCCATAAAAGGAAGTCTTTTTTACTCCGTGGGAATCAAGACCTTGTTTACATTACTTCCACAAGAAAACTCTCCAGGAGACTCTAGTAGGATTTATGAGCTGATAAAAGTCTTCTTTTAAAAAGCACTTTTTAGAAAACCACTGGTCAGCCCTGGAAAGTCCCGAGCTGTCCTTGACTGAACACTCCCCTCCCAGGGCCCCAGGGAGCTCCTGCCCTGCTGGGAAGCAGCTTTGCAGAGCAAACCTAGCCCCACAGGCTCTGCGGTGGTCAGGGATGTGTGTACACAGAGGCACCTCCAGATTTCTACCCTCTTGACCCTTGACCCTGACATCCCCACAGGCTGCAATCGTGTAGGAAGTCAAGGAGCTAGGATGCTCCAGGCGGCTTAGGACTGAGTGCTGCTGCCGCCTCATGCTGGTACAGCCTCAGCCGGGCAGTGACTCTCACCAGAGAGACCAGGTTCCGCAGAGGTCCTGCAGGGCTGAGTTTGTGCCCATGGGCAGCCCGAACAGCCGGGACTGTCTTGGGAGCCACTTCCAATCCAGGACCTGCAGCACGGGGTTGTGGCCCTGGTTCCGTGGCAGGAGCAGCCATTCCTGCCTATCAGGATTCAGGCCCTTGATTCCTGCAAGTGCCGCCCAGATTCGGAGCAAGAAGGAGTTTTAATGAGGACAAAGGAAAACCTGAGTTTGAAAGCTGCCCAAACAGATTCCTCTGAGTGCCTATCTGGGTAAAGGTCTTCCCTGGCTCCTGCATACTGAAGACCTGATGTGGGGCTGTAGAAATGCTACCAGGAACACTAAGCTCAAATCTCCATATCCTGTAGCATTAGGGCTGGGGCCTTTCATATAGCTGGCCTTCGTGAAATCTGGGACTACCCCTTACTCATCTTTGCGACTTCAGCAGCCAGTGTGCAGCCAGAGGGATCAGTGAATTTGGTGGCCTGAGCTCTGAGCATGGGAGAGGATTGAGGATGGGATCTGTCTTCTACTTAAAACATGAATACAGGGCTGGGGATTTAGCTCAGTGGTTCCACCGCCTGCCTCACAAGCGCAAGGTCCTGAGTTTGATCCCTGTTACCAAGAAACCCCCAAAACAACTAAAAATATGAATACAGCAGGGGACCACAGCCTGCACCTGATCACATGCAACCTGCTAATTCAAATGGACTTGGGGGTTCACAGACCTGAACACCCCAGAGGCCTCAGGCTGTTCCCAGTCTTTCCTCCACATCTGGAACACTCTGAGATGGTAAGGGATGGGTCTTGGCCCAGGCACTGCCAAACCACTGAAGGGTCTTCCTCAGGCTGAGGTGAAGTCCCTCAGTGGCCACCCCATCACCAGCGAGTGCCTCTTTTCCCACACACAGACCACACAGTGGAAGAAGCACTTTCTCTCTTCTTACACGAGACCCACGAGGATTCAGGCAACTCCCAAGGCCTTAGAGAACAGAGTTCATCCTCTCATTTCATGCAACAAAAGAACCCCTCTCTGAGAACACTCTTTCCTCCCCTGAGCTCATCAGTAAATTCAGAAGGACAACATCCCGATACTCCCTATGAAACCAACATGTCTCCGTTCATTCTATTCTTAGAAGGGAGGCAAACTTGCCAACAGGGTTCTGGATGGCAAAGCAGAAATGCCTTCTGAATTAAACATCTCACACCCAAGAGTAACCTTTTTGTATAAACTTCCTCTTCATTCTGCTGGGAACAGGAAGTCCTCTGCTTTTCCCATGGCAGGTGGGCCACTTCCCAGGCATATTAAATTAATATTAAAACTCCAGTCATCTGGAGGTGGATCAACTTCAAGAGTCCCACAAGTTTCCCAGAGACAAACATTTACCGGAGTCAGAGAAAACACAAAAACAATACCTCTGTGGTGACCAACCCCAAACCACATGAACAAAACCCACACCTGCCCTCTTGAACTGTTGCTATGCTTGCTACATACCACTGATTAAAGCGTTCAAATTCACTCTGGCATCCTGAACCTTTATGCAAATTCAGTGGGCATGAGTGCTCATACTTTATAACTTGTATTTGGGCCCTGCAGGAGGCGTTTTCTTAGAAATGGGCTGGTGCCAATACAGCAACATTCAAGGTGCAGAGTAGCCAGTCACTTGTGAGGGGCCCTGCAGGTGTGGGGAGTGGGAGCAGGCCTCTGGAGCCCCTGGAGTTTCTCCAGACAATCTCCTCCAGTACTGGGCAACCTGGAGGAGATGATGCAGCCCACTGTGGTGTCCACTCTGCTGTGGATCACAGGTGGCAGGCCAGGGCAGGCAGTCCTCAGGCCCATGGGTCCAATCTGGCTTGCTGACTGTCTGATTTCGTAAGGCCTCTGAACTGAGAGTGGCTTTTACATTTGTAAATGGTTAGGGGAAAGAAAATCAAAATAAGAATACTTAGTGACAACATGGAATTATGTGAAATTCAAATTTCAGTATCTAAAAATAAAAGTTTTATGGAGCACAGCCTCTTTGATCATGTGATCTCCACGGCTGCTTCTACACCACTGCAGAAGAACTTAGGAGCTGCAATCAAGCTTTGGTACACAGAGCCAAAACCATTTACTAGCTGGCTTTTTAGTCTGCCCAGCCCTGCTGGAGGGCAAGCCAGCTATGTGTCATGAGGACACTCTAGCACTGTTACAGGGAGGTGCACGTAGAAACTGAGGCCTCATGAGGTGCAGAGACACATCAGTAGCTTGGGAGGCATCTGCTGCTACTCCACGAAAGCTTTCAGACAACTGTAGCCCCACTGACAGCTGGACTGAAACCTCCTGGCGACTCAGAGGCAGAGCCTGAGAGCCACTACCCTGCTCCCAGTGTCCCCGCCTACAGGAACCCTGTGACAAAATAAATGCTTACCAGTATTTCTGACTCAGGTTTTGGGTACAGGTGGGGAGGGAGGTGTTACTGTGCTGGGCAATAAAATATTCTGAGTGGCCTTTGGGGCTCTCCCACCTTTGGGCACAGAGTCCCAAAGAGGCTGTACTGGGAGGTGTCTTTGATAAGGGTCAGGAGACCCAGAGCTTTGATCACTGGTAGCTTTACCCACGAGGCCCGAGGCGCTGGGGCTACTTCTGATCTTTCCAGTCCCTGCTCGACTCAGAGGAAACCCTGCCCTATTAGCCCAGGAAGACACTGTCTCCACAGTGGCTTTCTCCAGGACCTTCCCTGCAAGCTGCTTTCGTAATCTATGCAAAGCACTCATAGGATAGAACAGGCTGAAGCTGGACCGATGTTCCCAAGCAGCAGCTAATGATACAGCACTCAGTGCATTCTCTCCTGCACTACAGGGGGCTGTCTCCTTCACTCCATGTGCCCTTCAGCTGCACAGCCAGAGCTTGGGTGATGAGGCCCGCCAGCTCTACGTGGCACTCAGTCTTGGGAGCAACGATCAAAGTGTTTTAAGATCAGAAGGCTTTGGTTTACTGATACAACAACGGTTTCTATTTCTAAGGCTGTGGGGATTCTAAGGTGGTCCCAAATTCCTGTCCTTGGTGTGAGCAACCCATTATAATCTCCTTACCTGAAGATAGGTAGGACTTGTGAATAGGATGGGATGTTTTACTCCTTTCATTAGGCTTCTAATAAGGCCACTGAGTTGCTCAAAAGGGACATTATCCTGAGTGGATCTGATTTAATTGGATACAAAACAGAAGAAGCACCAGTTTCTTGATCTTGAAGAAATAAGCTGCAGTGTTTTGAGGGCTGGTGGAGCAGCATATGGAAAGGACTCATGAGATGTTGGGTTTCCAGGGATGAACATGATCCCCAGTTGACCAGCAGCAAGAATACAGGGTCCACAGGCTGCAAGGGGGTAACACATGCCGCACATGAAGGAGCTTCAAGTGGGACCGCAGCCCGGTCCCTGCTGAGATTGTGTCTGGATCCCAGGACACAGACACCAAGAGACCAACCGAGCAAGGCTTCCGTACCTGCGGGGCCCGCTCCCTAGTGCCCACTGGACGTGTGTGCCTGACCAGTACCTGTACACCACCCCCACCACAGCAGGGCTCCACTGAGGAGGGGCAGACAAGTGGGCACGCAGATCTGTGCGACATCTCATGTAGACTAAAAAACAAGTCCTCTGGGATCCTTTCTCAGGTGCATCTGAACCTCTCCCCAAAAGCATTTCTAGAAAACTCCTGACTGGTCCTGACAGTGGAGTGGGAGCCTACATTTACATTCATCTACTGGAATCCAGAGGAGTCTCTGATCCTTGCCTGAAAGCGCATGCCCAAAACAAGTCCTGTCCCATACCTGGCAACCTAACCAGAACAACTTCAGCCCTTCCTCTGTCTTGGGCCAGGAAGGACAACAATGGCTTCCCCTTGAGCAGTTCTGACCTCTAAAGAGCCACAAAGCACCATTGCTACCAGGAAGCAGAGCAAGTCCTCCCTTCCCGGGGGTGCTGGTGTTGGGATGCTGACTGTCCCCTACAGGCCCGTGTGGTACAGCCCTGGGTCCTTAGCTTGGAGAGGCTTTCAGGTTACTGCAGGCACGCCCTTGGAGGGGACAGTGGGGCCCCAGCCTCTTCCCTTTGCTTACTTCACTTCCCAGCTACGAGGAGAGTGGTTTCTACTCTACCACACGTTCCCGCCATGATGTGCTTCCTCTCCATAGTCCCAGAGAAGTGGAACCAAGTAACCATGGGCTGGAGCTTCCAAAACTCTGAGCCCAAATAACCTCTTCCTCTTTAGAAGCTAATGAGTTCAGGTGTTTGTCGACAGTAACGGGAAGTGGACTGATGCAGGGGGATTTGCCAAGGAATACTAAGAAGTGAGTGGGTCGCAGAATCATGAACACTCATTAGCCAACAACTCCCAGGAATTCTGAGGTATTCGTTCACAAGAAGTGGGATAAGGAAACAAGGTCATCAGTGTCCAGGAGTGCTGGGAGTTGTGTCTCCAGAGGGGTCAGCTGGTCCACAGTGCTCAGCGGCTTGTGACTTAACAGAGAAGACGACTGGGGTTGAGGGTGATGCCAGTGTGGTGGCTTTATGCTGGGACTGAGGTTCACACTATGAATTCTTACCATAAAACTTTACGAGGCTGGGGCTTTAGCTCAGTGGCACCGTGCTTGCCTTGCAAGCTCAAGGTACTGAGTCTGATCCCCAGTACTGCGAAAAATAAAAAAAACGAAAAACCACCAGATGTGGTGGCAAAGGTTGGGGAGAGGTGCCTGAATTTGACTGAAGAGTAGTACGTGTTGCCTATTATCTTCCTATTTTTAAACTTCACACAGAAAGAATGAGCAAGGATTGCTGGGCTCAGTTGTTTCATGTAGACACTGGGCCTGCGAAACAACAGTGCAAACTGTAAATCAGAACTGAAAGATTAAGGAATATGGGTGGCATCAAGGTGCCTGCAGAAAGGCACAGGTCCTACAAAACTGGGTTCCTCTCCTCTCCTGAGGATCAACAAACTCTCTTCTAATCTATTTCTGCATCGACAGGACCAGAAAGCATGGCTCTCCGAACTACCAATCTTCCATGACCCAGAAGTTATTCAAGAGCTCAAATAAAAGATTGAGGGGCTCAGGAAATACATACAGCATGTCAGGGCAATTGTCCGGCTTGTCCAGAAGGCCACCCTCCATGACAAAGCGAAGCACTTGCTCGTTGGATAAGCCCTGGTATGGCTGCTCAGCCAGTGTGGCGATCTCCCAGAGGACGACCCCAAAGGACCTACAAGGAGAAAAAGTATGAGCAGCTTGGAAAGGAATGGACATGACACTCCTCTGGCA